AGGTGTACCCCTCACCCAGTACTCCCCCTACTATCTCTGGAAGGCACTTTCTCTGTGGCAGGAGCGGGCTAGGGGTGCCTCCACCCAGCAGCTTTTCTCACTCCTCAGGTGGGGCCTGCTGACTCAGCATGAAAATTCTCAGCCTAAAATATTTCATCCCGGGGAAGATCTGGAAGTGATGGGAGTGAGCGGAGAAGATGAGGCTTGGCTGGGCCCTACTGGCCGCTTGGCAGAAGCCTGGGATCTCAGAGAGCAGTGTGCAGGGGCCAGGGTCAGCGGGGTCATGGGCAGCAGCTGCCCCTGAGACCTCCCAGGGGCCCGTTGGCCTAGGCAACTGCAGGGCCTCAGCTGTGAGGCAGGCTCTGGGTGGGGAGGAGCCTGGAGCCCCGGGGAAGGAGGGGCAGGATGGGGGAATTCAGAAGCTGGCCAAGGTCCAGCTGGGTCCCAGGGCAGGCCAGCCCTAAGCCCCTGGGCATTTCCAGGGCTGACCCAAGGGAGCAGCAGTAGGCGCGGCCACTCGGGGACTGAAGACCCAGAATGACCAAGGGCGGTTGCCTGGTCACAGAGGGGCCCAAATGCCTGAATGCAGCTGAGCGTCCCATCATGAGCAACCATGGGTGTCCTCCGATCTCTCTAGCCAGAAATCCCCAGTACCTCTCTGCTGCCACCCCTCTTCACTCCCCTGCCCCCAGGCCAGTCCCACCCTTTGCCTTGTTGATTCGTGTCGCTAAGTGCAGAGGCTGGCCAAAGTTCTCTCCATGGTGCCGATCTTGCCCATCCCTCTCTCGGCCACCCTCCCAGCACCTCCCAGTTCTGTGGCTTTTTATTTGAGATGGAGTCTTACTCTCTCACCCAGGCTGCAGTGTAGTAGCATGATCTTGGCTCACTGCAACACTGAAACCTTCCGGGTTCAAATAATTCCCCTGCCTCAGCCTCCCAAGTAGCTGAGACTACAGACGCGCACCACCATGCCCGGCTAATTTTTTGTATTTTTAATAGAGACATGGTTTCACCATGTTGGCCAGGATGGTCTTGATCTCCTGACCTTGTGATCTGCCCGCCTCTGCCTCTCAAAGTGCTGGGATTACAGGTGTGAGCCACCGCGCCCCGCCATTCTGTGGCTTTTGACTGCAGTGACTCCCCCATCTACCCCTCCGATGTCCATGTGCTGCTTCTGGTATTCCAGTGGCCTGCTCGGTGCCCCTCTTCATCCCAACCTGCCTCAACAGACCCAGGCCCCTCCCCTGAGCACTTCTCCCCTCAAACCACGGCTTTGCTACGTGTTCCAAGCTACTGGGGCTGCTCCTAGGACTCCTCTTAAGTTGGTCTTTGTTGGGTGGCCAGGATGAGGCACAGGGAGTGGGAGGCAGACCCTTCCAAGATTCTCTGGAGCAGACAGAATCAGGTCCAAACACCTTTGCAAGACTTCACAATCTGTTTCTGAAGAACTGTTCCAGGCCCATCACTGCCTCCCTCTCCTCTTTCCCTCTGTCCTTCCCCCTTTTCTTTTACCCTTCTCACGCCCTCCGTCCCTCCTCCCTCCCTCTCTCTGCCTTCTCTTCCTTCCTAAATCTAAAGCCCCTCCCCATTCCTAGGAACATACCCAAGAGAACTGAAAACAGGTGTTCACACAAAAACTTGTACACAAGTGTCCACTACTCAACAAGTGGAAAAACCCAACAATGGACGCATAACCAAAATACCATATGGCCATACAGTGGGCTCTTAGCCATAAAAAGGAATGGTGGACTGATACCTGCTGCTGCAGGGACAAAACTTGTTTGAGAACATCATGCTAAGTGAAACAAACCTGACAGGCCGGGTGTGGTGGCTCATGCCTGTAATCCCAACATGCTGGGAGGCCAAGGTGGGCGGATCACTTGAGGTCAGCCTGGGCAACATGGCGAAATCCCATCTCTACTAAAAATACAAAAATTAGCTGGCATGGTGGCGGCACCTGTAATCCCAGCTACTCTGGAGGCTGAGGCAGGAGAATTGCTTGAACCTGGTAGGTGGAGGTTGCGGTGAGCACAGATTGTGCCACTGTACTCCAGCCTGGGAGACAGAGTGAGACTCTGTCTCAAAAACAAACAAACAAAAAAACAAAAACAAAAGAAAACAACAACAAAAAACGTGACAGAAAAGAGCATGGGCCAGGCACAGTGGCGGCTCACACCTGGAATCCCAGCACTTTGGGAGGCTGAGACAGGCGGATTACCTGAGGTCAGGAGTTCGAGACCAGCCTGGCTAACATGGCAAAACACCGTCTCTACAAAAAATTCAAAAATCAGCCGGGTGTGTTGGTGGGCACCTGTAATCTCAGTTACTCAGGAGGCTAAGGAAGGAGAATCGCTTGAATCTGGGAGGTGGAGGTTGCAGTGAGCATTTCAAAAAATAAAAAAATAAAAAAGCATGTATTGTATGATTCCATTTATACAAAATGCCCCAAATAGGCAAATCTATAGAAAAGAAATTAGATGAGTGATTGGCAGGGGATGGGGTGCAGAAGAGGCGGTAAGAGACTGCTAATAGGTGCAGCGTTTCTTTTGGGGTGATGAAAATGCTCTGGAATTAGATAGTGGCAAGGTTTGCACAACGCTGTGAACATACTAAAAACCACTGACTCATACACTTTATTTATTTATTGAGATGGAGTCGCACTCCTGTCATGCAGGCTGGAGTGCAGTGGTGTGATCTCGGCTCACTGCAACTTCCACCTCCTGGGTTCAGGTGATTCTCCTTCCTCAGCCTTTCGAGTAGCTGGGATTACAGGTGTGCACTTCCACACCGGGCTAATTTTTGAATTTTTAGAAGACACGGGGTTTCACCATGCTGGCCAGGCTGGTCTCGAACTCCTGACCTCAGGTGATACACCTACCTCGACCTAGGATTACAGTTCTAGGATTACAGGTGTGAGCCACTGCGCTCAGCTAAATCATCCACTTCAAAAATGTTGATGTTTATGGCCAGGCATGGTGCCTCACACCTATAATCCCGGCACTCTAGGAGATCGAGGCAGCTGGATCACTTGAGGTCAGGAGTTTGATTCCAGCCTGGCCAACATGGTGAAAACCCGTCTCTACTAAAAATTCAAAAATTTGCCAGGCGTGGTGGCGGATGCCTGTAATCCCAGCTACTCGGGAGGCTGAGGCAGGAGAGTTGCTTGAATCCAGGAGTCGGAGGTTGCTGTGAACCAAGATCGCACCACTACACTCCAGACTGGGCAACAGAGTGAGACTCCGTTGGGTTGGGGTGGGTGGAGTGAGAAATCAGCCCAGATGGCTACTCCCAGCAGTAGGGAAGCAGCAGGGCTGGGCTGAGCTGGGCAGGCCGCCATGAGATCAAAGGAAAGGAAACACCAAGCCCCAGTGGCTGCAGATGGCAGAGCTGGATGGAGGATCCACACTATGGCCCTGCCAGCCCCCACCTTTGGGTGCCCCTTGAGGCCCTAATTCCCTCGCTTTGTTCTTGGCACCCACTTGGGTTCCCAGGCACAGCTGCTAGGAGTGGCTTCTGTTCGGCAGCTCTCCTGCTCAAAGACTAGAACCCTAAAAGGAAGCCACAAGGAGGGGAAGAGAGGGTGGCTCCTTCTGCCAGGGCAGAGGCAGGGCAGGGTGGGGCATGGGCATGGGAGGCAAACCCTGGCTAGAGCTTAGGACTGTTTTTCAGGGCTGTCTACTTGGTATCTCAAGGGCAGGGGCCATGACCAGATTGGGGGAGGCCAACAAAGGGGGTTGTGAGGCAGATAGGCCCAACCTCTTGGGCACCCTCAACCCTCCATCACTGACACGCCCCCCAGAGCCTGCCTGAGATCGCCTGGGGATGACAGACACTTGGAGAGACTGGTGACACAGCTGAAGTGGGGTCTAGAGACGGTCAGCCAGCAGTTGCTTGGCACCTTCCTGACAATAGCAAAAAAGGAACCGTCTGGTGGCAGAGGCACGCCTGCCAGACCTGCCTGCTCTGGATTCACATCCTGCTGTCTCTGTCTGACTCTTAAATGCCTGCTCCGGCCCTCCCGGCCCTCCCAGATCATTTCCAACAGTCACACGACTGGTATCCAGGCAACTGTTGCCTGGGCTCCCCAAATGTCACATCCGGAGGCTGACAAGTCATGGTGCCCATCGTGGAACACAGCTGGCTGCTTCATGCATAGAGAAGCTGGGGGAGGAGGAAAAAACTCACTCCCCATGCTGCCACTTGTTTCTAATTCTTGGCCTCAGAGGAGGTGCTATAAAAACCAAGGAAATAAAATAGCTGCTCTTGTTTAAAGGGAGACCTTTTACTGTATGTTGGTCAGATCTGAGGCTCGATTCCATGTCACCATCAGAGACAGGTGGGAAGCAATGGTTGGCCGCTGTTCGGTCACGTATTTATCTGAGTCAAGGCACAGCCACCAGCAGCTCGCTGCCCCCTTGCCCACCTCCCTGCCCTGACAGCTGGGGTATGCAGTCTTGGCTCTGGCATGTGAGGCAGGTCAGCCTGCTAGCTTAGGGCAGGAAGCCACTCCATCTGGCCAGTGACAGCCTTTCCCCAGATGCCAGGGCACAGGGGAATGGGATGTGCTGTGAACCCTGGAAGGCCTGACCTTGTCTGAGTGTTCTGGGCTGCAGGCAGGCCTTGGCTACTGCACGACTTGGCAAAGCAGCTGCCACCAGGACTCCAGCTTGGAACAGCCCAGCAAGGCCGCCCCCTCCAGATGGAGAGGTCAGGCTGGGACCACAGCGTGCATGTGAGGAACTGCACAGGGAGGGCCAGGCAGGCAGCTAGTTGCTTGTGCTGCAGCCCGGCTCCAGGGCCCACGCAGGGCACCTCTGCAGTTGAGAGGTCACTGGGGCCTTGTGGGGATGAGGGGTGGGGTTGAGTTACCCATTGGACAGGCCTGGGGCTAGACACAAACCCAGTGTGACCAACACTCTGCTTTCTCTGGACATAGGTCAAATAGGCAACATTCTTTGTCTACTACCAGGAAAAAGTAGAAGAAAGATCAAACTCAGAAGTCACACTCAGAATTTATTTTTATTTCTCCAAAAGTTGTTTCTGTGTTGATTCATGTAGAAAATCCCAAGGCCTTCTCACCTTTTCTGAGCGGGTGGTATCCGCGGCTGGCTTACTTCTAGACATGGAACATGCACCGAGAAGTAAGAGCTTCCTTCCAGGAGAGGCTCAACTCACAGGAAGGCCGGGCTGCGTGAGCCCTTCTTGCTGGGCCTGGTCCCCGCAGCTGCCCCTCCCTGGCTGGCTCCTCTCTCTTTTACCACCCAACTGTTCACCTTGTCACAGGGCTATGTCTTGGCTCTTGGCTAAGACTGTAAGGGCCCACACAGCAGAGAACAGCAGAAGACAGAAGCCTCAGATCCTGATGACCTGCGCAGCAACACACGGACTCTGCCTCTTTGTCCCGTCTGCCACCAGCCTCCTGATGTAGAGTCGGGCGAAGGTGCCTCCCACCTGCCCTTTGGTGAGGCGCCCGGGGTTCACACAGACACAGCCGAGGACGTCCTGGGGAGGAGAGAAGAGGAGACGGGTTCGGAGAGCCTCAGCTAACTGGGGGCCAGTGTGAAAAAGAAGTGACACCAGATGGCTGGACCCTAAAGAGGGTTTTGGAAAATGGAAATGAAGGCAGCAAAACAACCAGAAACATTTTCAGTCATATATATTTTTTTAAGATGAAGTCTCTCTCTGTTGCTCAGGCTGGAGTGCAGTGGCGTGATCTTGGCTCACTGCAGCTTCTGCTTCCTGGGTTCTAGCGATTCACCTGTTTCAGCCTCCCGAGTAGCTGAGATTACAGGCACATATTACCACACCTGGCTCATTTTTGTATTTATTTATTATTTTTAATAATAATTTAAAAAGCTCATAGCTGGAAGTTCATAGCCAGGAATAATTTTTGGATTTTTAGTAGATGGGGTTTCACCATATTGGCCAGGCTGGTCTTGAACTCCTGACCTCAGGTGATTCACCAGCCTCAGCCTCCCAAAGTGCTGGTATTACAGGTGTGAAACACTGCGCCCAGCCTTAGTCACATGTTAACTTGTTGCTAGAAAACTCTGAATTCCTTTCAAGTCTTTCAAACAGAAGAATGAGGTGGCGTGGCAGATTAACAGCCCCCAAACTTGGAGACAAACCTGATCTAGCTGTTCATTGCTTTTCCATGTGAAAAACTTTTTTTTTAAAACCTCTTGAGGTTGAACTGGCTCTCGTTTGGCAAGAGGGAGCCTGGTCTGGGATTCCCTGTATGAGACCTAAATCCAAGGCAGGCAGGGTTTAAGGGTGGCAGAGATCAGAATGACCCAATAGCGTCTTCAAGGTATTATTCCCAGCTAAGCCAACCTGGAGGTCATATCAGAATCTGGGGGCAGAGGACAGGCAAGTGCATATACAAAATCTTCCCCAGGTCACCTTGATGTGGCCTGATGAAAGCCCTCATTTGAGGGTCTTCCTAGTCACCTGGGCTCCTGTTCTCTTGGGGAGGGAAGAGGGAGCAGGAACACTCCCAGTTTTCAGGTTTACTAAAGTGTTTTACTGACAGAGTTGTTTGTTTTCTGGTCCCACCAACTTCCCCAAAGAAACAAGACCCCAGGGCAGGTTGCTAGAGGCCCCATCCCCATCAGCAGACCCATGAGGGGTGAGTGCCAGGTCGTCTAGAAGGGAAACTCAAAGGCTGGGTTCTACATTTCTAGGAAAAAGCAGAGTTCAGACCTACCTTCACAAAGTACCTCAGCTCTGACGGGATGATGAAGATATCTGGGGTGACAGGCAGCTGTGCGTAGACATAGAATGTCTCGTAGTCAATGGCCATGTCTTCTTGGGGTGGATAGAGCGGGTAGTAGCTACAGAGACAGAGAAACAGTCAGCAACAGTTGACCAAGGGGCCCCCTTCTCAGACAGAGTCCCCGTAGGTACTGGCTTCCGCACTGCTGGTGACCACAGGCTGACTTTTTCTGTGTGTGTGTGGTGGGTGGGGGGGCAGAATGCAGGCTTGTCATCACAGGGTAAAGTGAAGGCTCTTACAATCATGCCTGTCATAGTGCCATGACCCCAAGGCACTGTCTCCACAGTCGGGGGTCCCAGTGGCAAGCTCACCTCCTCTGGGTCAGGATGTGCTTGAATATTCGGCTGAATCTGTCTGAAGTTCCAGAAGAACTGGGAAAGAAAGGAAAGTGTAAACACAGAACCCTGTTTTTCGACCCATTTATCTTCTGGGAGGACGGGAGGATTTAATAAACCAGAGAGAAGCTAAATGGCCAAGGCCCAGTGACAAGAGGCTGCCTCTGGGGAAGTTTAAGGACCCACCCACAAGGAGCTGGGTCTGTTCCCACATGAGAAGGGACGCAGGACAGTGGGTTGAGAAATGAAAGCACAGGAATCCCTCATAATCAAGATCGAGGAAGGCCATTAGCCAGCACTGTACTGGGCAAGAGGATGCAAAGTTGGCACCACCATGAGGCAGGCGTGTAGCCAGGCTGACCCAAATCTCAAACCTCAACCAAGGAGCCACACCCATCTCGCTGAACATGCGATTTTCTTCACATGCCCCTTCCCATCAAGGATGATGGCAGAACGGAGCTGCCCAACTTCAACTCAACAAATTTGGCAGGGCCTGATTCTCTGCAGCGCTGGTTATTGTACTGGAAACAAAGAAAACCCTTCAGAGGTCACAGATTTGGGAAATAAACTAAAGGGGAGCAGAAAAGAAAACGGAGATGAATTTCGACGCCTTTAAGTGCAAAGACAGAAAGGACACGGCTCTCTGGGGACTCACAGGCAGTTTAGAGAGGTGGTAACAGAGACTAATGCATCCAGCCCCTCCCCCTGGGTAGAGAGAAACTCAGATGGCCAGAGTCTGACACAACTTGCTGCTTTCAAGACTCTCTGGTCAAGACCATCAAGAAGCCCCTTGATTTTCTTGGCTGCAGAAAGGGCCGGGACCAGAGAGCCGGTTGTCCTGCTTGGGGCTGGAACGTGCTTCTTACCTACTGATCTCCTCGGCCCCCAGGTGGAACAGCAGATCCGTGGACGTCAAGCCGAAGATCACTCCGTTTATGGAGAGGCTGCAGGGCTCCGACACAAAGTGTACTTGCTAAAATGAGAACGGGTTGAAACAAACATTTGTATACCAAAAGTTAGAAACATCTTCCCATGAAAGTGGGGGTTGTCTGAGGGCTGGGGGGACCACGGAAAGGGGGACCAAACCAACATACAGCAAACTTATAAACACATTTGCCTGTTTAAAAAAAGTTTAAGATTCAGGATGTAGGTGTGCCTTAAAGAGGCCTCTCCACCCTCCCCTTCAGGGCCAGAGCTGGTGGCGCAGGCATGCTGGATTCTGGCAGCCTGCTGGTCAAGGAGTGGGTACTGCTACCTTTTTGTCCTCTCGAGACAGATCGGAGTAGCTGAAAGGTGGCTGGGGGTACACAGGCTCGTGGTGCACATCTCTCAATGATGGGACAAAGACAAGGTGGGAGCCGGAGCTAGTTTGTCAAAAGAACAAATAGAAGAGGGAGAAAAGTGAGTGGAGTTGAGTTAGAACAGCTGGGCACCAGGCGGAATGCGTCAGGGTTGGAGGCAAAGAGCCCACTCCCAGGGAGGCAGCTCAGAATTACACTCTGTTGTGAACAGAGATGCTGTTTCCCATGGGACCCTGGGAGTGAAGGACAATTTGTTCTAATTCACACCCATCCATCTGGACGAGGCTCAGACAGCCGGGGACACTTTCTTGTTGCTCTGTGTGGCTCTCTACTGAGAGGATGGAGACTATTGTTTGGCAGAAAAAGGGGAGAAGAAATTGAGATCTAGAAAATCTAGAAAGACAGGATGTGAATAAAGAATCACAGCCTCAGAGCCAGAGTTTAAACCACAGCTCAGACTCATTATACCTTCTAAGCAGGTGTAGCTTGCAGGCATTAAACAGTCTCCCTTGCCACACCCTGGCAGAGTGTGTGGAGCTGGGGCATCTTTCCTAGGGAGAAGGCAGGCATGCTAAAAAGACCTTGAGACTGCCTTTGTGTTTTTTTTTTTTTTTTTTTTTTTTGAGACAGAGTCTTACTCTGTCGCCCAGGCTGGAGTGCAGTGGCACAATCTGGGCTCACTGCAACCTACATCTCCTGGGTTCAAGCAATTCTCGTGTCTTAGCCTCCTGAGTAGCTGTAACTACAGGTGCATACCACCATACCCAGCTAATTTTTGTATTTTTAGTAGAGATGGGGTTTCACCATGTTGGCCAAGCTGTTCTCGAACTCCTGGCCTCAAGTGATCCACCCATCTTGGCTTCCCATAGTGTGAGATTACAGGTGTAAGCCACCGTGCCCGGCCTGCCTTTGTATTTAGAAGATCCAGCTGAAACCTTCTGGCTGACTGAACACTGGACCGCAATCACTGGACAACCAAGATACGGACATTTCTAGCGGGATGTGGCAGAGCCAAAGTGGCCTCTCCCTGAGCCATCGCAGCCCTCCCCTCTCACACATGGAAGTAACGCCCCGATTTTCTATTTCTCAGAGGGCCGCCTTGCGAAAGTGAAAGAAATATTTAACAGCAACAGTAAAAGCACAGATGACAGCAGATGTTTCTTTTGATAGAGGCAGGAGAATCTCTAGGGTTACAACAAACAAATAAAGAAAAAAGTTTTTACTATTTATTTTTCCCAGCCACACAAAAGAGAAAAAAAGCCCTGTTTCCTTGGTTCCCTTAGCTGACCTTGGCAGAGGGGTCTTTTATAAATCAAATAGGCATAAAGTGTTACTTTGCGGGCAATAAAATCCACCAATAACTCTCATTTCCATCTCCTCTTGCTTAAAATGTGTAACTTCCCAGATGTATGTACATTTTCACATGTGATAAAGGTGCTGGTGACAGCTGTCACCCTTATTACTGTTTGTGGTGTCCTCCCAGAGTATGAACTGAGCCTTCTACAACACAAAATCACACTTCTGAGACCAAAGGTGTTTGCATATGCATTACAGTCCCTTTGACACTGAGAAGCTCACTATGATGCTCCAGTCCACCATTTGGGTGCCAGGGTCTGGTAAACAGGCCATGGGGTAACTTGAATGGGACAATCTGTGCTCCAGATCTCAAGGGCTTGACGTCTGTGATGAACACAAAGGGCTGAGGTGCAGCTGGCTGCTGTCCAGGGACGAAACTGCCCTATTTCAGCGCAGGCTTTGGAAGAGCAATAGTTAACGAGGAAATAGCCTTCCTGCTCATGGTTAGAAACTGGCTATAGAAGGAGGGATCAGAAAAAAATCCCAACTATGCTCAGCATTGCACAACCTCATACGTCATGGTGGGAGGGTCCTCCAGTTGCTCCAGCAAACAGGACGAGAACTGCAGGCTCTGCTTGCCTCTTCTGAGGTGCTTTCTCACTGGTTCTGGCTTTTTTTTTTTTTTTTGAGATGTAGTCTTTCTCTGTCACCCAGGCTGGAGTGCAGTGGCACAATCTTCAATCTTGGCTCACTGCAACCTCTGCCTCCCAGGTTCAAGCGATTCTTCTGCCTCAGACTCCCGAGTAGCTGGGACTACAGGCACCCACCACCAAGTCTGGCTAATTTATTTTTAGTAGGAGGGGTTTTGCCATGTTGGTCAGGCTGATCTCGAACTCATGACCTCAAGTGATCTGCCGGTCTCAGCCCCCCAAAGTGCTGGTATCACAGGCATGAGCCACAGCACCCTGCCTGGCTCTGACTTTTACTAATGATGAATCAGCTTAATGCTCTGCATTTCCGACCTCTCAGGAATACAAAGAAATTCTCTGCCCAAGGACCATTTATATACTGTTTGTAGAAGGGTGGGGCAGCTCCCCCTGCCCCGTGGCACACACTGGCCACAGATGAAAGTGCCTGGTGGTGCTGGGCTCTCACCCGCAGTGGAACAATGCCTCATCTGTGCTTGCTTTCTATCACTGCTGTCAATACCACATGGGGTAAGGAACCAAAACCAGAACCCAACCTCAAACTGAAAGCACCCAGCCAGAGTTAGGGCACTGCAACACAGTCCCTCCCTGTTCCCAAGGGCTGACAAAAGGAGAACACAGCCCTGCTCATGTGTTTTGGGGGCCTATCTCCTGAGGAGTTCTAAGCACTCTCCGGCCTTGATCAACTTGATCAGGATCACACACATCTGGGGAAGAAGAGGGAAGGCACTTGTGTCACCTTCATTGGAGGGAGGAGAACCAGCCATTGTTGTCACCAGCACAACCCAAGTCTCTGATTCTGGGGTGAGTTGGGGGGTGCTCTTTATTCCAGCTGTGACATCTGCCATCCTGGCCCACACTGCTGGTACAAGAAGGTAGTGTTACAACTTAGCGACTCTGGGGTAAGTTCTCACAGCTACAAGGCGGAAGATTAGACGTCTTGTTTTAAAAAACCACCTTTGTGATAGACTTGTTTTTAAAAGCTTAGCCTCAGGAACATTTGTATTTTATTAGCTCAGCTACAGGCACAGAGATCTTGTGAGGAGACCTACCACCTATACCAACTTCTTTCAAACCCTGGCACTGGGGGAAAGGGACAGGAATGGAGGATGTCAGGTTTCTGAATAACTTTCCACTCCTGGCTTCAGCCTCCTCCCGGAACAGCGACTTTCCTTCAGGTGGGAACTGCACAGCTCTCGCTTCACTGCTGTGACTTCTCACAGTTCCTTCTGTTTGGTCTATGGCAAGGATTCAAGGCCCCACCCTCACTGAGAGTTTCTGCCACCACTGGCTCTAGCCTCTGGTGGTGTCCTATGTACCCTGGGGAAGCAGTGACTTGGGAGGAACTTGGGCTCACCCAAAACAATTGCCTACACAACCAGATGTTTTGGGTCTCACAGGATTTCACTGTGTAAGTCACCAAACACTTCTGAAAACCACCCTGGGAAGATTCCCGTGGAATATTAGTTTATACAAGAGGGAGTGAGAAAAGGAACTAAGTCTAGAAGAAGAAGAGCAATGGAAGAGTGAAACCTTGTCCTTTCAAGTACGTTTATCTTTGCGTTTTACAAAAATGCCGCTTAATTTGGTGTCCACACTTGAAGTTCAAGAGTTCTATCTGATCTCAGTAGTTCAAAAAGAAGAAAAGAATAGGAAGTGCCATGATCTTTTTTTTTTGAGACAGAGTTTCACTCTTGTTGCCAGGCTGGAGTGCAATGGCGTGATCTCGGCTTGCTACAACCTCCGCCTCCTGGGTTCAAGTGACTCTCCTGCCTGAGCCTCCCAAGAAGCTGAGATTACAGAGATGCACCACCATGCCTGGCTAATTTTGTATTTTTAGTAGAGATGGGATTTCACATGTTGGTCAGGCAGGTCTTGAACTCCTGACCTTAGGAGATCCGCCTGCCTCAGCCTCCCAAAGTGCTGGGACTACAAGTGTGAGCTACTGTGCCCAGCTTCTTTTTTTTTTTTTTTTTTTTTTTTTTGAGACAGAGTGTTGCTTTTTGCCTAAGCTGGAGTACAATGGTATAATCTTGGCTCACTGCAATCTCTGCCTCTTGGGTTCAAGTGATTCTTCTGCCTCTGACTCCCAAGTAGCTGGGATTACAGGTGCCCACCACCACGCCTGGCTAATTTTGTATTTTTAGTAGAGACAGGATTTCACCAAGTTGGCCAGGCTGGTCTTGAACTCCTAACCTCAGGTGATGCACCCACCTCGGCCTCCCAAAGTGCTGAGATTGTAGGCATGAGCCACTGTGCCTGGCCCAGCCATGACTTTTAAACAGTTTCAGTTTCTTAATGGGAAGCTCTGGAGAAACCTAGGAAGCTTAAGGTTCTGTCCAGTATTTTGAATTCTGACCTTCTTGTGCCTTCAATAATTGTTCGTAGACACTGCTTGAAAACATCTTCAAATGGACTTGTCAGTAGACAGTTCTGCAAGAAAGGAAAGGAGATAGATTTAGAAGGCAGATGTTTGGTGTTTATTCACTTGTGTAACATTGTTAGGTGCCAGCTGTTGTGCTACGAGCTGAAGGAGACGCAAAGAAAAAGATGTGGTCTTTGTCTTAAGGAGCTAAGTTTGGTCAAAGGCAGGAGAGGAGATGTGGGAATTAATCCTCTTGAATGCAATCTGAGAGACTAAAAGGAAGAGTACTTTGAAATATTTTCCGTGGAACGTAAAATATCATGAGACAAAGGATCAGAGGTTCTAGACGTCAGCCATGGAGATGTCCCACCAAGGCCCATTCGTGTTTTATGCAAAGGACAGCAAGATATGAGTTATAAGCCTGGGGTATCAGCGAGGATAGGTACTTTCACAGGGCAGCCCATGACTTAGCACCTGCATTTGTGCAAGCGCTCTTGTGCCTTAGCACCAGGCATCACAAACAAAGGAACATTGGTACTGATATATTTATATGTCCCTCCCCTAGCTTCCAGACAGCCTTATATTCCAGTGAAAGAAAGCCCTGGGATTCAAGGTCTTTATTAATAAAGTGCCCTGCTAAAATGATTTTCTGATTAGCCACAGGAATTAATGTGTTTGTTACAGATGTGGGATAAACACTAAAAAATGAAAAGTGAGAGCCTGACTGAATGCAAGTACCTAGGAGCCCTTCCTGCCCCAGCCTGAGTCACTCACCTCCACTTGCTCATGCTTAGCATCCAGGAAAGGGCCAAACTGCAAGGGGAGAAACAAAGACATCAAAAGAACACATCAGAATCACATGTGTCTGTGAATGACTTCAGCTCAGCTCTTCTGACAGTTCTCTGCCCAGGGCCCATGTATCCCTCCAAGGCTGCCTGTAGAGCCTGGGACAGCTAGCAGATGGGCTGGCAGGGGCACCAAGCCAATTTCACAGGCAGGAGCATGTATGCCCCGGATGGAGGGCGGCTCCCAGGGCCCCATAACCAGCACTATTGTCCCCTATAACATTGGGTTCACGCCTGTAATTCTAGCACTTTGGGAGGCTGAGACGGGCAGACTGCCTGAGCCCAGGAGTTCAAGACCAGCCTGGGCAATATAGTGAAATCCTGTCTCTACAAAAAATACAAAAATTAGAAATGGTGGCATGTGCCTGTAGTTCAAGCTATTGGGAAGACTGAGGCAGGGAGGATAGGGTAGGATCACTTGAGCCCAAGAGATGGAGGCTGCAGTGAGCTGAGAATGCGCCACTGCACTCCAGCCTAGGCGACAGTCTTGCTCTGCCTCAAAAAAAGCCACACTGGACTTTTTTCTGACTTTCTAAACCTAGCAAAAGAAATTGACCACCATACTAACAGTATTTTGAGCTTTAAAAAGAGATTAGTCCAGAAGTTGGAGTAATGAGAAAGAGGTAAGAATACTGTAAAATCAATGAAGGGCGGTAAAAAAAAAAGTTCACCTTTTATTTCTTCTTCTTCTTATTATTTTTTGAGATGGAGTCTTGCTCTGTTGCTCAGGCTGGAGGGCAGTAGTGCAATCTTGGCTCACTGCAACCTCCACCTTCCAGGTTCAAGCGATTCTCTTGCCTCGGCCTACCAAGTAGCCGGGAGTACAGGTGCCTGCACCATACCTGGCTAATTTTTCTGTATTTTTAGTAGAGACAGGGTTTCACTATGTTGGCCAAGCTGATTTAGAACTCCTGCCCCCCTCAAGTGATCCTCCTACCTCAGCCTCCCAAAGTGCTAGGATTACAGGCGTCAGCCACTGCGTGCAGCCAAAGTTGGGTTTTTCAATTTAGCGAAGGCCTATAGATCATGTATACCTCTCCAAAGACATAACAAATGAAAAGATATTTTCTAAAAGGAGGAGGAACTGACATGCTTCCTAAAAATTTAGAGCTGCATTAAAACTGTTTTCCAAGGCCATCTCCTCAGCTTTCCCACTGGTGCGTCTTACCAGGATGCAGACATCTGGCCGGTCGTGGTTGATGACGGCAATCAGGTCGAGGAGGGGGTCATATGTGATGCTGTCAGATGTGGTGTATGGCCCACAGGCAACCAGCACCATGGTTTGCTCAAAGTCTAAGACAGAGGATTGTGGGTCTTGATTAGAAGAGGACTGGCATTAGAGTGGTGGGAGGAGAAAGGACAATTAGGGGAAAATGCCACAGGGGTGAACTCATTGAGTCCTTTATGTGTGCAAGTCTGGGGACCCAAGGTGAGGAAGACCTCATGTCCATCCTCCAAGAACACTCCACTAGGTGGTAGAGGCAGAGACAGGCAGGTTTGCTAATACTTGGAACACGCAGTTGGCACTTTATGAGCGGTGCACATGAAAGATTCCAGGAAAGTGGCAGTCAGAAAGAAGGTACAAGGTAGGATTTGCTTACACTTTTGAGAATTTTTGGGGATCAAGGGCAAGGCAGGGTACAGAACAGCATTGAGACCTGGGTGTGGTCAGTGTTAGGAAATGTCTGGTGGTCCAGTGTGGCTGTAGAATGGAGGGTACTGAAGAGCCCAGAGAGACTTGCTGGGGTCAAAGGCCTGGAACAGGAGACTCCAGGGTGACAGGGTACAGGGGCCACCTATCACGCTTTGCCCTTTGTCTAACAGCAGCTGCTTTCCTTTTGGAGAATCAGCCCTCCCCTCCACAAGGCAGTCCACATAGGGCTGTAAATTGGGTGCTCTGTCTTCCTCTAGCCACGGGCAGGCACATGACCCAGTTTAGGCCATTCACTCTCTTTCCAGGGTCTGCAATCTTGAGGTGAACTATCCAAGGAGAGAGCTACTATTCCAGCCGAGGTGCCCAGATGAGACAGCAGGGGAATTCCTGCTACCTGGATGCTAGAGTTCCTGGGCTTTCATCCCGGTTCCAAGCCTGGGTTTCTAGCCACTTGTCCAGTCTGTGAGCTATCTGGATCTCCCCTAATAAATTCATGCTTTCTTATCAGTCTGAGCCAGTATCTGTAGCTTACAACAACAAAGATCCCTGGCTTCTTAATATGCTGTTGTTTAGTTTCTTGTTGTTGCTATAACAAGTTATCGCAAACTTGGTGCCTTAAAACAACACAATTTTGGCCAGGTGTGGTGGCTCAAAGCCTGTAATTCTGGCACTATGAGAGGCTAAGGTGGGAGGATCCCATGAGCTCAGGAGGTTGAGACCAGCCTGGGCAACATGGTGAAACCCTGTTTCTACAAAAAATACAAAAATTAGCTGGGCATGGTAGTGTGCACCTCCTGGGCCCACTACTTGGGAGACTGAAGTGGGAGGATTGCTTGAGCCTGGGAGGTTGAGGCTGCAGTGAGCTGTGATCATGTCACTGTACTCTAGCAAGACTCTGTCTCATTTAAAAAATAAAAAAGCCAATTAATTTATTATCTTACAGTTCCAGAGGTCAAAAATCCTAAAATGAAGGTGTGGGCAGGGCTGAGTTCCTTCTGTCTGGAGGTTCTAGGGAGGAATCTATTTCATTGTCTTTTCCAGCTTCCAGAGGCCACCTCCATTCCCTGGTTCATGGCGCCATCTTCATCGGCAAAGCCAGAAGCCTACCATTTCTCTCTTTTATTTTTAAATAAAATGATTCTTTAAAAAAAATTTTTTTTTTTTTTAAATGGGGTTTCACCATGTTGGCCAGGCTGGTCTCGAACCCCTGACCTCAAGTGATTCGTCCATCTCAGCCTCCTGAAGTGCTGGGATTACAGGCATGAGCCACCATGCCCAGCAAATAAAATTTTTCTTGAGGCTTCTTCAAATCACAGCAGCTTAACATTTCTAAGCTCCGACTCTGATTCTCTTGCCATTCCTCTTATAAGGACCTTTGTGGTTATAGTGGGCCTACCTGATAATCCAGGCTAATTCCCCCATCTCAACAGCTTAACTGAATCACATGGCCAAAAAGTCTCCTTTACCATGTAAGGTAAAATATTCACTGGTTCCAGGGATTCCTGGGGCTAGAATTCAGTCTACCATAGCAATATTACATGGATTGAGACAGAGCCTTCAAGGGGAAGAGAAGGTTTCACGTGGTGGTGGGGTAGGGGACAAGGTTAAGTTTGGCTCTGAGAAGCCTACAGGAGATGTAAGCCCCAGTGTCAGCAACAAGTGCTTGGAGAGCGAGGACCGTGTCTTATTCTGTATCTCCATGAGTGCCTCGTTTAAGTTCTTGCACAAAATAAGTGCATTAACAACCTGTTAAACGGCTTCCAAGGCTTCCCTGGTGTATAACTTAGGCTCCTGGTATCTCAGCCAGGTTGATTTCATGACCTGAAGTTGATCTGACTAGCTAGGACTACAGACGCGTGCCACTGCCCAGCTAAATTTTTTAAATTTTTAGTAGAGACAGGGTCTCCCTGTGTTGCCCAGGCTACTCTCCAACACCTGAGCTCAGCCCACACTGATGTAAAATTCTTTTTGAAATCGCACATCTTTTTCCTTTCCAAGACAATCTTCAAAAATACCCGTTAAACATTAGTCTTTAAACAACATTGCAATTCTCGCATCTGATAAAATAGATTTCAAAGCAACAAAGATATAGTGGTAAAAGGATCAATGCAACAGTAAGAGCTAACGATCCTAACACCAAGATGCATAAGACTCATAAAGAGATTTAGACTCAACGAGACAGAAAATTAATAAGGATATCCAGGACTTGAACTCAGATCCGGAACAAGTAAACTCAATAAATATTTATAGAGCTCTCCACTTTAAATACAAAAAATATACATTCTCCACCTTAAATACACAAAATATTGATCAGCCATTATTAACACCCATTTTTAGAATAAAGCTTCATTCCCGTTCTCTCTCCCTCTTTTTCTTCCTCTCCGTCACTCCTTAAACAAACAAACAAACAAACAAAAAAAAAAACATGTGGCCAGGCGCGGTGGCTCATGCCTGTAATCCAAGCACTTTGGAGGCCAAGGCGGGTGGATCACCTGAGGTCGGGAGTTCAAGACCAGCCTGACCAACATGATGGTGAAACCCCATCTTAAAAAAAAAAAAAAAAAAAAAATTAAAAAAATAAATAAATAAACAACATGCTTCATGTAGGCAGAACTCAGGCAACAGGACAACCAATGCTCACTGGGCTCAGACCAGGGGTCTTATGGCAAAAAGCCTACGAACTCACTGATGGGGGTGCTCTCACCAATTGGTCACATTGCTCTTCAGCAGCTGCTGCAGCTTTCTTCGGCTCGGGAAATTGTACTCCTGGACTCATGTCCAACACCCTCATTGTTGGGAAAATAATATTTGAACCAAAACTCACCTCCATCCTCTTCGGTGGGCTGATAAAATGGAAGTGGCACACCCTAAAAACAGGGGAAAAGCTCAAGTAAGGTCTTGCACTGGGCATAGCCTTGGTAAGGAAAGGGGAGGGCACTGGGTTGGGGGCGGTGCAGGTGTGTGATGGGCAGACAGTGGGGAGGAGCCAGAGGGCAGCAGAAGGATGTGCCTCTGTCTTGCTCCTTGGATCTGATGGGACCTGCCACTTTTCAATAGCGCTCAGAGGAGAAAGAAACGCAGGTAACGGGAGGTCACTACTCAACTGTCATAAAACACCCAGCAATAAGTGGGAGCAAAACAGGTGCCTGAAATATCAGTGTACTTCTAGGCAAGGATGGGACAGAAGGGTGTCTTGCTACTTTTCCTGGCATTCTATGAAAATCTCTGGAAGATTGTTGCCTAGAGCAGTGATAAGTAAGCTTATGCCGGAGCCAAATCTGGCTGCAGACCACTATTTAAATCAAGTTTTATTGGAACACAGCCACGGTCATCTGCTTAAGAGTCCTCTAGGGCTGCTTTTGTAGACGAAGGCAGAGTTGAGTCATTGTGATAGAGACCATACCGCTACCAAGTCTAAAAGAGATACTGCTGGCCCTTTACAGAAAGAGTTTCCTGACCCCTGGCCTAGGGGTAGGCTCCCACTTATAGATGGAGAACTGACTAACAAATAAATGGGCTCCTAAAAAGGACCAGTTTCCACAACAGACAGCTTCATACTTTGCCTGAAGCAAACCAAGAGGCAAGTGGGGGAACCACTGTGTACCTCGTACAGTTTGGTGGCAACAAGTTTCCTACCAGTGGTGTTGATTCCTTCCATAATTACAACCTGAAAGGCAAGAAACAAACAGGATTGCTAAGCAGAAGACATCAATGAAGTCTGGAATATATTATTTTGAGGCAATTAAAAGCACTGTCCAACTACTCTCATTTTGTAATTGTAAACTTGGGGCATTTTTCTAGAAAACAAATTAAGGGCGTTGCGTTAGCAATAATAATTATGCTCTATATTAGCGATCTGATATTCACCACAATCCTATGAGGTAAGAATGTTATTTCCATTTTGAGAATGAAGACACTGTGGCTTAGGTTAAGTACCTTGCCCACAGCCATGCACCTCGTGGAGTTGGGATTTGAGGCCAGGCAGTCTGGTCCCAGAGCCTCGGTGAGAGCATGGGTGAAATGGGAATCCCTGCTCCAGGGCACATGCTCCAGCCACACATCATGGCAGCAGAGACAGGAACTGAGGAGCAGCCATGCATGGCACAGCATGTACACTACAAGCATAAAGAGTGCGCCTGCATCCTGGTGGAATTCCTCCAATCTCACCTGTCCGGGAAACAGAGAATATTCCTTAAGTTCAGATAAATCCACTGGAATTTGAGCACCCGAGGAATGTTCCCGGTCTCCCTCAAGAATCACTGACTTATTGTTCAGCTTCCCGTTGCTATCACAGCCAATCTGGCCCAGCAGGGTGACAGGCTCCTACCAAAGGAAGGTCACAGCATAAGAATGACAGTCTTTGGAGCAGGTGCTCAAAATCTGATGTCAACAGGGTGAATAGCAAAACAAACTACAAACAACAAGTACATTGTTTTTGGCAGGGCATTGCTTTGACCCTGAGGTGACTACAGCTCATCACTGGCTCTCAGGATGGAGGAACTCTGAAAGGGCATCTTGTCCACCCACCCACCCAGCACCTGAGCCCTCCTACAAGGCTGCCTAAGTGTGAGCATCTATAGTGTAGGGGAACTTGCCTCTGGATGACCACCGCACCCCATCCTCACCACCCCAGAGCAGCCCACTGTCTTTGGATAGCTGTATCTACTTAATAATAGCTAACATTTCTTGAGCTTACTAAATACCATGCACGCTTCTAAAATGTATTCTTATGCATTTTATATGTATCAACTCATTTAATCCTCACCACAGCCATCAAGTGGATATTACTGTACTCATTTTACAGATGAGGAAAACAAGCAACAGAGAGGTTAGATGACTTCGTCAAGGTGGGTGAAGCTTGGGTTTGAGACCAGAAGTTTGGCTCCAGAGCCATATATTTAGCCACATACCATACAACCTCTTAACAAGAAGTTCTTTATTAAACTGAGCTAAAATCTCTCTCCCCATGGCTTCTGCTGTTCTGTTCCCACTCTTGGGAGAAAAGAGGAAGTCTCATCTTTCCCATGTGATTATGCATTCCTGCCTTCCTTCAATTACTTCCTTACAAGTCCTCCAAAACTTCCTTCTATGACACAGTTCTGCATCACTTCCCCAATTGGTCATTCTTTCTTTTTTTTTTTTTTGAGACAGAGTTTCGCTCTTGTTACCCCAGTTGGAGTGCAATGGTGCGATCTCAGCTCACCACAACCTCTGCCTCCTGGGTTCAGGCGATTCTCCTGCCTCAGCCTCCTGAGTAGCTGGGACTACAGGCACGTGCCACTGTGCCCAGCTAATTTTTTTTTTTTTGTATTTTTAGTAGAGACAGGGTTTTACCATGTTGACCAGGTTGGTCTCAATCTCTTGACCTCGTGATCAAAGTGCTGGGATTACAGGCGTGAGCCACCGCGCCCAGCTGGTCATTCTTTCAATGTAAACATTGACAAAGGTACTCTAAAGAAACTTCTAGAACACATTTCCCCTTAGATTAGAAATGTTCTGGAGAGAAAGCACTGGTATATACACCAGATTAAACTATGATATAAAGATACTACTGGCAGCAGTTTGTCTATAACAACAGACTAAAAAACCAGGGGAGAGCCTGTGAGTCATTGACTAGAGAACAAGACTCTGAAAACCCCACCCTCGCTGCAGTCCTTTTATCTCAATACTTGAATGCTTCTATTTGTGGGAAATCCCCAGGGAGCTACCTGTCTCACCACCAGGGGAAACAAGGCCTTCAATCTCTGCTTATGTGCAAGATTCTAATCCAGGTGGGAAGAAAATAATGCTCTGTCACAAAACCAGACAGCACTTACAAATCTTTCTTCAGAAGGGCCCATTTTCCCAAATTCAACCAAGATAGATGTTCAAACTAGAACACGGACAAGAAGTGAAAAAGGAAGCAACAAGGGTGCCTCTTGGTCATCAATTTTAAAATGTAATATTACTTAGTAAGAACTATTGGAGTAACTCTTACCTGTGCTGGGGCTAGCAAAGGAGTGAAAACCTCAATCTTGTAATGTTCCTTGAGTTCGCTGCCAAGTTCTTCTATCTTATAGGTCAGAACTGCAATCCCAGAAGTGGAAAAAGAGTATTATGTTTAAGACATTTCATTTGCCAAGAAGAGAAAATACAGCACATTGTAAAATATTAAAGTCAGTCGTTTTACAGAAGCAGGAAGGGTGCCTGGGACATCTGGCCAGTTTAAACCTTCTAAAACCCTTGCCAATTTCCTGATATTTGGTTGCTGAGTCTGGCCTTCCATCTGGCCACAGGAGACCCCATAGCACAATCCTAGGGAATCAGCATGAACCCCACCTCATCCCCAAGTCTGCCCTTTACTCAGGTCCTCACTGAGGTTTTAGGCAAGTCAAGGCCAACCTGAAGAAGGCTCCTAAGGAAGAAGGCATGGCTATCTTTAAGTCGAATTCCTTTACATTGTTCAATTTTTTGCTGCTGGGAATGGTCGTGTGCTTTTTAAGCAAAGTGAAATGAATTGGGACAATTACTGAGAGTATCGCCAGTGTCCCTCCATTACTAGGACTTCCATGAGGACATCTACCAACTCATATATTCAAAGACAACCTTGGAACTTGTTCTACCAGCCTAGCTGAAGCTTTGTTACTCTAAACCCTTCCAGGTGGTTTTATATCCACTGGAATTTCAAAGGGAAAAACAATCACCTTCTCGAATGTCTGGGAGCTTCTGAAACATGGATTTGTAGCTCCCAGTTAGTGCCTCTGGACACCCCAAGACCTTCAGGTTGATGTTTCCAGCTCCTCCTCTCCCAGACCAAGACACTCCCTGTGCTGAGCCAAAGGAGGTAACCACTTCTCCTCGGTTACTTCTTGAGTTATATTTCTGGGAGGGAGTAGCACTAATTGGAAGCAAAAACAGAGTAACATTACTGTGTTCATATGTAAAGGGAGAGAGGAATCCAATGAGGTTCTTTTGGAAATGGGGACTGGAGAAAAGGAATGTAGCCTCATAATTTTTATATTGAATCAGTTTAACGAGGTTGGACATACCCAGACCTTTAAGGAATTTCAGGAATGAAGGGTTGAGGAATACCAGGCTGAGGAATACCAAACATTTTTAGAGAAGCTTAGAGACAGAAACGTATTTTAAAAGGTTGTCGTTATCTTGGGATTAAAACTAAGCAAGGCAAAAAAAAATCTCCAAACTCGGAATTGATTAAAAGGCAAACTTCAAACTCCATCTTCTTCATCTTGTAAATTGTTACTGTTTATTAGAGCATCGTCTGAGCCTGGAACGCGGATAAGCCAAACTTGCTGAGCATATATAAAAACTCACAATATAGTTCAAGGTAGAAACCATAAAGTGAAGCTAAAATTAATCAGCTTTTCCCAGTGTCTATGGAGGCAGAGAAGTAATGAATTAACAGTCTGCTGATGTGCAAATGTTCCCATTTTTCCAGGCTCAACTGCCAAGTTCTCACATTTCCACTCCCTGACAGTAAAATTACACCTCTCAAGAACACATGGCTATTGCTGATATGCTTAGATGGCAGCAAGGTCTTCTAACCCTCTGGTTGTAAACACATCATACAGAGAGGTCTCTCTCAAACAGGCTTTGTTTAATGCACTGAAACTTGACAGGAACCAGTTTTATGTGGGGCACTGCTGCAATTAATGCCATCATCCTTTCTTTCTACAGAGGCTACAGAAAATGAGCTCGATTAATTATCTCAATCTCCAGTGCCACCTCTGCCTGAATAATTTAGAAGTTACTTTTGTAAATTACAAAACCAGTTTCTGCTGTCAGCTTTATCAGTGTGCATTAAAAAATGACTAGGCAGCATTTTGCCAACTTCTCCAAGCTCTTCCCTGGGAAGCATCACGAACCAGCCATTATAACAGGCCCTTTAATGCAACAAGATGCTCATATGAGGCCAGCTGTAAACAGTGACAGGTTTCAGAGATTGTCTTTACATTTGGAGAATATAACTCCTGAAACGGTGCTGGCATGTCTATAAGAACCATCCCTACATACCAGGTTGCAAAGATGCTCTTGTTAAGTCTAGAAAGCTTTCTTCCAAAAAGTTTGAGAACTCCCCGAAGCAGCAGCAGACCACCCTAAAGTAAAACTGTCCTTCAAGATCCAAATACTGCCAGGTGTGGTAGCTTATGCCTGTACTCCCAGTACTTTGGAAGGCTGAGGTGGGGAGATTGCTTGAGGCCAGGAGTTCAAGACCAGCTTGGGCAACATAGTGAAACCCCGTCTCTACAAAAATTATCTGGGCTTGGTAGCATACGTCTGTAGTCCCAGCTACTCAGGAGGAAGGCCAAGGCTACAATGAGCTATGATGGTGCCACTGCATCTACCTTGGGCAACACAGTGAAAGCCTATCTTAAAAAAAAAAAAAAAAAAAAAAAAAAAAAAAAAAGGCCGGGTGTGGTAGCTCACGCCTATAATCCCAGCACTTTGGGAGGCTGAGATGGGTGGATCGTGAGATCAGGAGATCGAGACCATCCTGGCCAACATGGTGAAACCCCGTCTCTACTAAAAATACAAAAATTAGCTGGGCATGGTGGCGCGTGCCTGTAATCCTAGCTACTCAGGAGGCTGAGGCAGAAGAATCACATGAACCAGGGAGTCTGAGGTTGCAGTGAGCCGAGGTCACACCACTGCACTCCAGTCTGGTGACAGAGTGAGACTGTGTCTTTAAAAAAAAAGAAAGAAAGAAAAAACAATCCAATGATCACTCACCTTGAATGACTGCAGAGCTTCTATCACCACCTTTGTAAAGTTATAGAGCTGAAAAGGCTGGGCACTGTGGCTCACGCTTGTCATCCTAGGACTTTGGGAAGCCAAGGCAGGTGGATCTCTTGAGGTCATGAGTGCGAGATCAGCCTGGCCAACATGGTGAAACCCTGTCTATACTAAAAATACAAAAATTAGACTAAAAAAAAAAGTGATAGAACTGAAAAATGTTAAGCTCTGGTTCATCTAGAAGTGATCCAAGTAGAGATAGTGACTCCTGGCAACTGGCGTTTCCCCAAAGGGTTAATACTACTGCTCCGGAGCCTCATCTTGATGCGGAAGCTCCTAAAAACCCATCTGCTCAGCAGAGCTCTTGCCTATGGAATTCTCTAATATGTGTCATTTACGGATTTCAAAAAATTACATATGATCTTTGTGGATTTATGTGCAATGGTGGCAGAGGGACAAAATACCAATTAAGTCAGTGCAGATTCACAGTGACAAAAAAACTCTCAGAAACTAGTTGTAACCTGAGTAAGAAACAATAACAGGTTGTGAGACATCATGAACAAAAATATGTGCTTTTCTTTAAAAAAAATAAACACTTCAGATGAGAAGAAAGAAAAAGAAACCCAACAAAACACAAACTAACAGAAGCAGGTGGAAACCTGCTGGCCTCTACTGACAAGACCTGTTAAGACTCTTAGACTTCTGAATAGGCGGGTTGTTTTCAATAGAAGATATCAGTTCCTGATCTAGGAAAGGAGCCATAGAAAAGTAGGTGGAAAGTGAGCTTCCTTAATTACCGTAAGAAACAGTAATTTTCCACAGAGAAAGGGACAGCAAGGAAGGCAGACAGCAATAGGCTTTCCAGTCAATTCACTGCAGATGTACACGCCCACCTATAGTTGATGAGTAACTTTGCTGTTACCTTCACCAGATAGCCAGAGAAAGGGGAGGGGGGGCCTGCTTTACGGCACTTGAATTAATTATGATCCATACCTTGGAGAGAAACTTGATGGTGAGAGGAGCTGATGGGGGCTACGAGTTGACACACTCCTTTTTGTTAGGGGGGTTTCTGGGGTGGAGATAGCTCGCTTCTGAGAACCCTAGGGAAAAAAAAGGAAAACAAAATCTCAGTCATACTAGACTCAATACTAATTTGGTGTATAGTTCCTTGGAAGAAAAGGGAGAGCATGTCCAAATGAAGGCACAAAATAGGACTGGTGAGTTCTCTTCAGGCCCCATCATCCAAGCATAAACTCTCTCTCTCTCTTTTTTTTTTTTTTTAAAGAGATGGGGGTCTCACTGTGTTGCCCAGGCTGGAGTGCAGTGGCTATTCACAGGCACGATCCCACTACTGATCAGCACAGGAGTTTTGACCTGCTCCATTTCTGACCTGGGCTGGTTCACCCCTTCTTAAGCAACCTGGTAGTCCCCTGATCCTGGGAGGTCACCATCAAGCACAATCTCAAAAGAAATCTTCAACAGCTGTGACCAACATTCAGGACACTGTCTCTATTTTGAAGGCAATTATGAAAAACTGCCAAAAAGGACCATCAGGCAGGTAATCTGTGCTGCCAAATCTTTCATATGTTTACTTTCTGTCCCCACCTCTCTCTGTTTTCAAACAGATCTGAGTTTTGAAATGCATAGATTTGATCTACAGGGACATATTTTCCTGAGAAGGAATGAGACCACATTACTACTTACTCTGGCAAACTCTACCACACATTTTCAAAGGAAATGACTCCAACCAGATAACAAGGCTGAGCTCATACTTGAAGAACTAGCAAACACCTCATTGATGGTCACTCCTTTTTTTTTTGACTCATCAACAAGAATCCAAAGATAAGCCCAGAATGGAGGATAAAACCTATAGTCCAGAGACCTAGTGCTCCCTAAAGTCCAAGATAACTGACTGTACTAGAGAAAACACAAAATCCTTGCCTGGATAGCAGCCAGGAAGCCAACTCATCTGCAGCTTTCCCTGCCCTAGGGCTCCTCCTGGCTGCGAGTTTAAGAAGTTATACTGCCAAGTGGTCAACTGGTGGCAACTACAGGACAAAGCACCAGAGAACAGATTCAAAACCATCGTTAGTTAGGTAGCTGCAATGGAAAACAAATTAAAAAAACAAATCTCTTATTCTACTACCCTGATATAATAACTAGTTTTGAATATTCCTTAATGGTATTTTAATATCTTTCTAGGCCAGAGGTAGTGGCTCATGCCTGTAATCCCAGCACTCTGCGAGGTCAAGGTGGGAGGACTGCCTCAGCCCAGGAGTTTGAGACCAGCGTGGGCAACAGTGAGACCTCACGTCTGGGGAGAAAAAAAAAAGCCAGGCATGGTGGCTTATAATTTGTATATTAAAATAACAAATATAAAAATTATAGTCATAATCTTAGCTTAAATATAAACCTAAGTTTTATGTACTGATTTTTTTAACTTAGTATTAATTATGAACATTTTCCCAAATTATTACATTTTTAGCACAGTGGTGAGATCTCAGCTCACTACAACCTCAGCCTCCTGGGTTCAAGTGATTCTGCCGCCTCAGCCTCCCTCTCAGTTCAAGTGATTCTGCTGCCTCAGCCTCCCAAGTAGCTGGGATTACAGGTGCATGCCACCACATCCAAATAATTTTTGTATTTTTACTATAGATGGGGTTTCGCCAATTTGACCAGGCTGGTTTCAAACTCCTAACCTCAAGTGATACACTCACCTTGGCCTCACGAAATGCTGAGATTACACACATATGCCACTGCACCTGGCACAATCTTTATCCTTTTTTTTTTTTTTTTGATTTGGAGTTTCACTCTTGTTGCCCAGGCTGGAGTGCAATGTGCAATCTTGGCTCACTTCAACTTCTGCCTCCAGGGTTTAAGCAATTCTCCTGCCTCAGCCTCCTGAGTAGCTGGGACTATAGGCATGCTAATTTTGTATTTCTAGTAGAGATAGGGTTTTGCCATGTTGGTTAGACTGGTCCCAAACTCCTGACCTCAGGTGATCCACCTGCCCTCCCAAAGTGCTGGGACTACAGATCTTTATCTTTTTAAGTAGCTACATTATTTTATTAAATTGACCTACAATGATTTACATAATTACTTCTCTATTGCTGGATTATGGGTTGCCTGCAATTTTCAGTGATGATAAGTAATGCTTATTCTCAGGTGAAAAGTTATTTGGCAAATTAAGATTTTAAATTAAAAAAAAAAAACAATGCTAAAATGCACATTTTCATGCATACAGCTTTTCCCATTACGTTGAATTATTTCTTCAGAAGACTTTTTTGTTTGTTTGTTTCCCTAGGGAGAATTACTGGGTCAAAGGGTAGAAAAAGATTTTATGATTTTGGCCAGACATGGTGGTTCATGCCTGTAATCCTCCTAGCATTTTGGGAGGCTGAGGCAGGAGGATCACTTGAGCTCAGGAGTTCAAGACCAGCCTCAGCAACATCGTGACAGTCTTTTTTTTTTATTATAATAAAAAAAGATTTTATAATTTTAACACATTTCCTCAAACTATCTCCCAAAAATATTCTCCTAATATACAGTGGGCTACGGTACTCTAGGGCCAATGCTGTGGGGCAGGGATGATATTTTGAGAGAATGACAGTCTGTCTCACAGGACATGGCAAGGTGATGGCACTTTAGTAAACAAGGCATAGTTTGGTGTTCTAGTCCTAACCTCAGTGGTAAAAGCTAACAGTGTTCACCAACTCCAGTCCCGGTTCTCAGGGATGTGCTCTCTTTAACCAAGCTCATAAGATTCATTATTAACACTTAATGCTGGTTTCTTCTTTTCTTTTTTGAGATGGAGTCTTGTTCTGTCACCCAGGCTGGAGTGCAGTGGCATGATCTCAACTCACTGCAACCTCCATCTCCCTGGGGTGGCAAGGGATTCTCCTGCCTCAGCCTCCCAAGTAGCTGGTATTATTACAGGCATGTGCCACCACACCCAGCTAATTTTTATATTTTTAGTAGAGACAGCATTTTACCATGTTGGCCAGACTGGTCTCAAACTCCTGATCTCAGATGATCCATCCGCTTCACAGCCTCCCAAAGCGCTAGGATTACAGGTGTGAGCCACCACACCCGGATGGTTTCATCTACATTTTTTTTTTGAGACAGAGTTTCACTCTCATCACCCAGGCTGCAGTGCAGTGGCATGATCTCAGCTCACTGCAACCTCTGCCTCTCAGGTTCAAGCAATTCTCCTGCCTCGGCCTCCTGAGTAGCTGGGATTACAGGCACCTGCTGCCACAACTGACTAATATTTTTATATTTTTAATAGAGATGGGGTTTCACCATGTTGGCCAGGCTGGTCTCAAACTCCTGACCTCAGGTGATCTGCCCATCTTGGCCTCTCAAAGTGCTGGGATTACAGGCACAAGCTACCACGCCTGGTAGGTTTCATAATTTCTAGTGAGAAATGTAGTCACCAATGGTACCTTATTCTTATATCTGAGGGTAAGGACATTCTCATACCCAGAGAGAAAATCAAATTATAACCAAGGATGGCAGTTTATTAATTTACTAGAAATATAATTGCCAAGCGTATGGGAACGTTAAGTCCTCATGCTAACACATTCTCTCCTGTTAGGGCACATGGCAGCCAAATCATAAGCAGATTTATGGTGAACACGGAGGCAAAAGAACAGTTGTCAACTGCACAGGTGAAAGGCTTAATAGTGATAAGCTAAAATCACTGACATATCATATTTACCTCTATAGCAGAGGGACACCTGTTCTCAAGACCTGACAAGGGCCAGGCAACCTCAGCCTGGCACTGTTTGCGTGGAAAGGCAAATAGTTCACACTTTGACTATTTTATCATGCTGCCATTGCTGCATGGCCTAACAGTGACTGAACAATTTCCACGTGATGGGTACTGTTCTAAGCATTTTACATATCTCTAGGCCAGACACTTACTGTTTGCTCAACCTTTCAATCCAACTCATTTAGTGTGAAATTCACAGTCACAAACATTTTTTTTTTGAGATGGAGTCTGGCAGTGTCATGACCTCGGCTCACTGCAACCTCCGCCTCCTGAGTTCAAGTGGTTCTCCTGGCTTAGACTCGAGTAGCTGGGATTATAGGCGCCTACCACCATGCCTAGCTAATTTATTATTTTGAGTAGAGATGGGGTCTCACCATGTTGGCCACGCTGGTCTCGAATTCCTGACCTCAAGTGATCCACCCACCTCGGTCTCCCAAAGTGCTGAGATTACAGGCATGAGCCACTACACGCAGCCTCATAGTAACAAATTTTGATTTACAAGTTAGTCTCCCACGTATTTCCATAGCAAGAATGGGGTATCCTAAATATGGGATTTCAGTCATTGGAAGGGTATCTACTTTTGCACCTGGCTTTTGCATCAGTCTACTGAGAGCCAGGTTACCATGAGTCAGACTCTAAGAATATGATCAATTCTGAATACATAGACAAATTAGATAAAATTCTGGATTTGTGAAGCTGTCAACTTGATAAAACTGTGGTGGTCCTGTTGGTATTGCAATTCAGATCCTACCTAGAGAGCCAACCACACTCCCTTATTCAGAGGTCTTTCAACAACTATTAATGTGCCAGGGTGCTAGGAAAACAGCAGCAAGTAAAAACAAAGTCTCTATTCTCAAGGAGATTCCATTCTAATGTAAGAAGACAGACTAAAACAAAAAAGCAAGTATGTAGGCCGAGTGCGGTGGCTCATGCCTATAATCCTAGCACTTTGGGAGGCTGAGACAGGCGGATCATGAGGTCAAGAGATCGAGACCAGCCTGACCAACATGGTGAAACCCCGTCTCTACTAAAAATACAAAAATTAACCGGGCATGGTGGCAGGTGCCAGTAATCCCAGCTACTCAGGAGGCTGGGGCAGGAATCGCTTGAACGCAGGAGGCAGAGGTTGCAGTGAGCCAAGATTGCGCCACTGCACTCCAGCCTGGGTGACAGAGCAAGACTCCATTTCAAAAAAAAAAAAAAGTAAGTATATACATGTTTGATGGTAATAAGTCCTATGGATAAAAATAAAGGAAGAAAATAAAATAGACGAGGGAGTTTGTTCTTTTAGGCAGGCTTGTTCCCTGTGACAAGGAGACATAGGAAGTGGACGTACATTTGGCATGGCAGAAGGAGAGAGCAAGGAGGAGTCTGGAAAGAGGACAGAGGGAGGAAGGGGCCAGCTCCTACAGAACTTCATACATGCTGGTTCAAACTTTGGGTATTAGGAGTAAAGATGGAAAGCCAGTGGGAGAAATGTAAGGAAGAAAACCTGACCTTTCACTGGAAAGGAGCACTCTGGCTTCTGGGTAGATCTGGTTAGAGGTAGACATGAAAGAACGAAGCCAAGGACTAGTTAGGAGGCTGTCCCAATCATTCAGAAGGAGACAATGATACTGTGAACCTGGTGGTAGCAGTGGACCTCATGGTGGCTGTGGAAGTGGTAAGAGGTGGCCAGATCCCGGAGAGGGATGACAGGAATAAGTTGGAGATGGGGTGTGAGAGAAAAAGGATTCAAGGAGGTTTCCAAGGCTCTTGGCCTGAACCAATAGAAGAATGGAGGTATCCTTCACTAGGATATGGACTCAGAAAACTACTTTATGGGGAAAATCAAATGAATTATAGTCTCTCCAATCTGAAGAAACTCTAACAAACACCTAATTATTTATTTTAATACTATATGTACCTGGTTTTGTGTTAGCAACTTCATAAGGCACATTTTTGGCTTTCTTGCTCTCCACAGGCATATCTAAACTATTTCCCTTCTTTCTTCTTGAGATAGCGTCTCATTTTGTCACCCAGGCTGTAGAGCAGTGGCATGATCTCTGTTCATGGAAGCCTCAACCTCTTGGGCTCAAGTGATCTTGCCACCTCAGCTTCCCAAGTAGCTGGGACTTGCAGGTGTACACCACCATACCCAATTTTTTTTTTAAAATTATTTTTATAGAGATGAGGTCTCACTGTGTCGCCCAATGTGGTCTTGAACTCCTGGGCTCAAAATCCTTCTGCCTTGGTCTCCCAGAGTACTGGGATTGCAGGGATGAGCCACTGCACCCAGCCCTTACCTTCTTTCTTATGATGTAATTTACTTTGAATAATTAAGGCTCACTCCACGTTCATGAATTTCTAGAAATTTATTTAGTTAGTATAAAGAATAATTACTATTCTGAATATATTGCATAGGGCCTGGTGTTTTAACTATTCACTTCCACTTCAAGCCCGCCAAGCTGGGGGATATTGCGCACTGGCTGTCAGCTTCCTGAGGGCAGAGCCCATCCGTGTCTGTTTCAGTGTCTAGTGCAGTACATACTTATTGCTGGATAACTGAATGAATGAATCCTGATATTATGGATAAGGAAAGACTGGCTCAGAGATAAAACAACTCACTCAAGGCCACCTAGGGCTTCTGACTCAGACTTTGAAGGCAATGCTTTTTCACTACCCTACTTGACCTTCCGCACTGGGATCTAACACAACTGAATTATTCAATCATAGTATAAAACTACGCAACTATTTAAAAAGGGAAATTACGGAGTAATTACAGTTATAGAAATGTTTCATGTTGTGCTGAGAAAAGCAGGATAGCTATATGTTTATAAGTACTGCCATTATGTAAAACATTTAGACATATGATCAGAAAGGAAGCTCTATAAGAGGAAATATAGTAGGAAATGCATGAGTGGTTGATTTTTTTCCCTCAGATCTTCAAATGTTGTGATAACCGATTTTAAAGTGCTGCTTGTAAAACACTGTTTACTTACCTTTGAGGGTGTGGTATACGAGTTCAAGAGGATTTCCTCTTCTTCTTCCACTTCAATTCTAAGAACACTGGTTAAGAAAAACGATAATAAACTTGCATATAAGGCAAGGGCTGACTGTTATAACAAATCTCAATATTAGGTAATTTTTACAATTTATTGTTAATATTATTATTTTTTGAGATGGGGTTTCCTCTGTCACCCAGACTAAAGTGCAGTGGTGTGATCTCAACTCACTGCAACTTCTGCTTCCTGGGTTCAAGCGATTCTCCTACCTCAACCTCCCAAGTAGCTGGGTCTACAGGTGTGTACCACCATGCCCAACTAATTTTTTTTTTTTAATTTGTCCTTTGGCCGGGCACAGTGGTTCACACCTGTAATCCCAGCACTTTGGGAGGCTGAGGCGGGCAGATCACCTGAAGTCAGGAGTTTGAGACCAGCCTGTCCAACATGGTGAAACCCCGTCTCTACTACAAAAAAAAAAAAAAAGTCAAAATTAGCTGGGCATGATGGCACAAACCTGTAATCCCAGCTACTCTGGAGGCTGAGGCAAGAGAATCACTTCAAGTTGAAAGGTGGAGGCTGTAGTGAGTCAAGATCGCGCGACTGTACTCAAGCCCGGGCAAAAGGAGCGAAACTCCATCCAAAAAAAAAAAAAAGAAATTTGTACTTTTGGTAGAGATGGGGTTTCACTGTGTTGCCCAAGCTAGTCATGAATTCCTGGGCTCAAGTGATCTGCTTGCCTCAGCCTCACAAAGTGCTGGGATTACAGGCATCAGCCACCATGCCTGGCCTAATTATTTGTTTTTAAATTACACATGCATCTACAGACAAATTATAAAATACAACATGTAGCTTGATGCAAAGACCTTCAGCAGAAAGGATACAGCTCTTGAATGGAAACAATGTCTCTAACTCCCGCATGGCCAGTGTCCTTGCAGGCACTGTGCCGGGCTTTGGACAATCTTTTGCTCAGAAACTGAAAAAGAAAAAATAGTGAATACATTACTTCATAGTCAAATAATAGCAGAGGCATTTTCCAAAGCCTTGAGATAATAAAAGGTCTTCAAAATATAATCAAAGACATGACATTCCTCAAAGAATTAAGATATATACAGACTAAAAACAAAGATACCCCATGACTAACACATAACAATCTTAATAATACCAATTATTTGGTGAAGACTTATCACCTGCTGGGCATAGTTTTAAGTGCTTTATGTCCATTCTCATTTAATTCTTTTTTTTTTTTTTTTGAGACAGAGTTTCGCTCGTTACCCAGGCTGGAGTGCAATGGCGCGATCTCGGCTCACCGCAATCTCCACCTCCTGGGTTCAGGCAATTCTCCTGCCTCAGCCTCCCGAGTAGCTGGGACTACAGGCATGCGCCACCATGCCCAGCTAATTTTTTGTATCTTTAGTAGAGACGGGGTTTCACCATGTTGACCAGGATGGTCTTGATCTCTTGACCTCGTGATCCACCCGCCTCAGCCTCCCAAAGTGCTGGGATTACATAATTCTTTTATTATTTTTTTTCTTGAGATGGAGTCTTGCTCTGTTGCCCAGGCTGGAGTGCAGTGGTATAATTTCAGCTCAATGCCACCTCTGCCTCTTGGGTTCAAGTGATTCTCCTGCCTCAGCCTCCCGAGTAGCTGCGACTACCATGTGCTACCATGACTGGCTAGCTTTTGTATTTTTAGTCAACGTAGTTCCACCATGTTGGCCAGGCTGGCCTCGAACTTTTGACCTCAGGTGATCCACTCGCCTCAGCCTACCAAAGTGCTGGGATTACAGGTGCCTGGCCCATTCTCATTTAATTCTTTTTAACAGTCATAAAAAATACAAATTATTAGACCCAATGACAGAAGAGGAAACTGAGGCTCAGGGACACTAAGTAGTTGGTCCAAGCTCATGGTGGGCCTGGAATCCAGGTCTGACTCGAAATCCCACAGTCTTCTCAACATAACACAGTGTCTTCCCTGTAGAGCAGAAATGGAGAATCGCGTTTTTAGTTTGCTTTCATTTTGTTCTTACCTCATGCTCAAAAGAGTTCAGGACCTCTGAGGTAAGGCCATCTTTACGTGTGCTGGTGCAGAAGGCTATAAGTTCGCTTACCATTCCCTCCTCATTCTGTCCATACTGGACACAAAGCTCTACCACTGTAGGAAGGAAAATTGGACAAGTGAAAACTCAGTTAATTTATCTCAGCGAAAAGCATAAACAATCCTGTTTACTCAATCAGTGTTTATGCAGAATCTCTTAGTGACAGGCATTGTTTTGGGCAATGAGAAAGAAGACAGAAGCATCCTTGTCCTCACAAAGCTTACTACCAGGGGAGAAGAGGGCAAAATCAGGGGGACCAATTAAGAGAATCATGACAAAGCCCAGGTGAGAGATGACGGTGGCTTGGACCAAGATGGTGGCAGTGGAGATGGCGAGAAATGGTTGAACTCTGGATAGGACTTTACAAACTGAAAGTAAAGCCTGTGGGATCTGCTAACTGAATGTAAGGTGTGAGAAAAAGAAGTCAAGGATGATGCTGATATTTTTAGCCTGTACAAAAGGAAGAGTGGCGTCCCTATTATCTGAGATGGGGAAAAGAGCAGGAGGAACTATTCTGGGGAGAGAGAGGAGATACCAAGAGCTTAGTCTTAGACATGCAGAGTTTGAGATGCCATTTAGACATACAACTGGAGACAGTAGGCTGTTGAAAAGACCAGCCTGAAGTTCAGGCAAGAGGTCCAGGCTGAGATATAAATTTGGGAACCATCAGTAAATACATGGGATATAAAGCTATGAGACCCCAGGTGAGATCACCAAGGGAGTGAGCATATCTAGAAGGGAGAAAAGAGCCCAGACTTGAGTCTTGGGGTGCCTCAGGGCCTCTGAGGATGAATCTGCAAAGCCTGAGAAGCGGTGACACAAGCAAAACTGAAGAAAAACTAGGAGTAAGCTGGGTGCGGTGGCTCACGCCTGCAATCCCAGCACTTTGGGATGTTGAGGTGGGCTGATTGTTTGAGCCCAGGAATTCAAGATCAGCTTGGGCAACATGATGAAACCCTGTTTCTACAAAAAATACAAAAATTAGCTGGGCTTGGTGGCACGTGCCTGTAGTTCCAACTACTTGGGAGCTGAGGTGGAAAGATTGCTTGAGCCAAGGAGGTTGAGGCTGCAGTGAGCTGTGATTTGGCCATTACACTCCAGCCTGGGCAACAGAGCAAGACCCTGTCTCAGAAAAAAGAAAATGAAAAACAAGTAGTGTCTAAGATGGTAAGAGAACAATGTGTTTAAAAAAAGAAAAAATGACAAACGGTCAAGTGCCACTGCTAACTCAAAATGAGGACTGAGAATTCATCACCAGATTTTAGCAAAGTGAAAGTCACTGGTAACCTGGAGTAGAGAAGTGGTGGCAACAAAAGAACTTACTGAAATGGATTTAAGGAGGAAACATTTAAAGATGGCAAGACCCGTGCTCGCCTCTGCAGTACTTATACTAAAACTGGAACAATACAGAGAAGATGAGCACGGCCCCTCTGCAAGGCTGACATGCAAACTTGTGAAGCGTTCCGTATTTTTGGGTGAAGGATATGAACAGACACTTCTCAAAATAAGACATTTATGCAGCCAACAAACATATGAACAGAAGCTCCTCATCACTGGTCATTAGAGAGATGCAAATCAAAACCACATTGAAATACCATCTCATGCCAGTTAGAATGGCAATCATTAAAAAATCTGGAGACAACATATGCTGAAGAGGATATAGAGAAATAGGAACACTTTTACACAGTTGGTGGGAGTGTAAACTATTTCAACCATTGTGGAAGACAGTGTAGCCATTCCTCAAGGATCTAGAAATAGAAATTCCATTTGACCCAGCAATCCCATTACTGGGTATATACTCAAAGGATTACAAATCATCCTATTAAAAGATACATACACACCTATGTTTACTGCGGCACTGTTCACAATAGCAAAGACTTGGAACCAACCCAAACGCCCATCAATGATAGACTGGATAAAGAAAAAATGGAACATATACACCATAGAATACTATGCAGCCATAAAAAAGGATGAGTTCATGTCCTTTGCAGGGACATGGATGAAACTGGAAACCATCATTCTCAGCAAACTGACAAAAGAACAGAAAACCAAACACCATATGTTCTCACTCATAAGTGGGTGTTGAACAATGAAAACACATGAACGCAAGGAAGGGAACATCACACACCTGGGCCTGTCAGGGGGGTGGGGGGATAGGGGAGGGATGGCAGGGAGTTGGGGGCTAAGGGAGGGATAGCATTAGGAGAAATACCTACTGTAGATGACAGGTTGATAGGTGCAGCAAACCACCATGGCACGTGTATACCTACGTAACAAACCTGCATGTTCTGCACGTGTACCCCAGAACTTAAAGTGAAAAAAAAAGATGTCAAGACCCTTTTGAGGTCTGCTGTAACTGGGAAGGAGAGAGCTGGAGTGGGAAGTAGGGTCAACAGAGTATTTTAAAGGCAGGATTGGAAGCATATTTCTATGCAAGTAGGAAAAAAATGTTGTGGAGAGAAAAATAGAAAATATGTAAGAGAGGAGAATTACCAGTGATGTCCTTAATTAGGCAAGAAGGAATGGGGTTTAGGACTCAAGTGGAGAGCTTGGATTTTGCTAGGAATATGGAGAGTTTATTCGTTGCAATAGGAAAACAGGCTAGGTATATGCCACAGATATGGGTCAGTGAGATGTAATGGTAGTGGCTGACAGAAGTTGCCTAATGCTTCTATTTTTTTTTTTTTTCAGCAAAAAATAGAAGTTTGTCAGCTGAGAGTGAAGGTGGGACAGAAGGATGTTAAAAGAGGAGAAGGTGGAAAATAGTAATCTGGAAGACTCAGAGTGAAGAGACGAGGTGCTGGGCATGGTGACTCATGCCTGTAATCCCAGCACTTTGGTAGGCCAGGGTGGATGGATCACCTGAGGTCAGGGGTTCAAGACCAGTCTGGCCAACATGGTGAAACACCATCTCTACTAAAAATACAAAAAGGAGCCGAGTGTGGTGATGTGGACCTATAATCCTAGCTACCCGGGAGGCTGTGGCAGGAGAATTGCTAGAACCTGGGAGGTAGAAGCTGTAGTGAGTCAAGATGACACCATTGCACTCTAGCCTGGGTGACAGAGGGAGACTGCATCTCAAAACCAAAACCAAAAAACGGCCAGGCTCGGTGGCTTACGCTTATAATCCCAGCACTTTGGGAGGCTGAGGCGGGAGGATCATGAGGTCAAGAGATCAAGATCATCCTGGCCAACATGGTGAAACCCTGTCTCTACTAAAAATACAAAAAATTAGCCAGGTGTGGTGGTGCACACCTGTAGTCCCAGCTACCCAGGAGACTGAGGCAAAGGAATCGCTTAAACCCAGGAGGCAGAGATTGCAGTGAGCTGAGATCATGCCACTGACTATACTCCAGCTTGGCAACAGAGCGAGACTCCATCTCAAAAATAAAAAAAAAAAAAAAGAGACTGGGGAAATACGGTTGACTGTCAGAAAACATTAAGGTGCCATTGAGGCTACTGATAATCCAAAGTCCATAATTCCAAAGCCACGCCAGTTTAGCCCTACGTGAGAGATGGAAGCAACTGTGATCTTGGCCTGAAGCCTTTACAAATTTGGTTCATATAACTAATTACTCTTGTGTTGATTTAATGCTTACCATGTAAATTTCTGACTATAATAGCTTTTCCACTTAAGCTTACTTTCTAAAAGTGAAGGGCCGGGCACAGTGGCTCATGCCTGTAATCTCAGCACTTTGGGAGGCTGAAGTGATTGGATCACTTAAGGTCAGGAATTCAAGACCAGCCTTGGCCAAGCCTTCTTACCCCATCTCTACCAAAATATATATACATATATATTAGCCGGGCCTCGTGTCAGGTGCCTGTAATCCTGGCTACTTGGGAGGCTGAGACAGGAGAGTTGCTTGAACCCCAGAGGTGGAGGCTGCAGTGAGCTGAGATCGCGCCACTGCACTCCAGCCTGGGAGATAAAGCAAGACTCTGTCTCAAAAAAAAAAGAGAAGGCACTGGGCCTGAAGACTTGAAGTATTCTGGTTTCTGAACGGAATTTCTCACCATAAATAAACATGTTTGCATTCTCTTTTTCTATATAAGAAGTTCAAAGTGTTGAGTGGTTAAGGCAGGTGCACATTCATACCGATTCTAGAACTTCCACATCTCCCAAGCTTTGCTTCAAATAACTCCTTACACTGCTCTACAGCTTGACCAACACGATGGACTCCTATACTGGAGCACTGGACTCTGCGGCAGGACACCTGGCTTCATAGACAGCTCAGGCAATTCGCTTTCCTTGTCTGTTTCTCCATATGTAAACAGAGGGAGCCAACAAGCTCCCTAAAGCTCCTTCCGAAGCTCAAATTCAATTTTAGGAACCCACCTCAGGGGATTCATATTTGCACAGAACCACCAACAGCTGTGATGAGAACTGATGGATCAGCAGAGGTTTACGGTGTAGGGAAAGGCAGGAGCCAAGAATAAAGAGCTACATATCAAAACCCCCACACCTCTTGCTTCTTTACCAGGGTGTCAACAATTTCCAAACTCGGGTGCCACCCGAGCCTCGTTTCGATCTAGCACATCCCAATTCCGCCTTCCGGGAACTTCGAGTTGGTTTAAAATCCGGCTGCATATTCTTATTTTTCATTTAGCATTCAGTTGGTACCCAGCGGGCATTTCAAAGTCCCCACATCCTAAATCTCAAAACTCAGTTTGATTCTTCATCTCACAGCCACCGAGAACTCGGCTCAAGGGAAGGTGGAAACTGGAAGCGCTACCCTTTCGGTTTTGAGCGCCGAGGAACTCGGGCGAGAGCGCGGAGCACCGCTGGGGCGCGGGAGGGGTGCGGGACTCACATTTCTCAATCAGAGCCTCCTCGCAGTCTAGGCCGAAGATCTGCAGCTCCTCCGCCAGCTGCTTGGGCGACACGGACATGGTCGCCCAAGCCGGGGGCCGGGAAGAGGGCCCACCCAGCTCCGACCTGCGCCCAAGAAACCCGCGGGCGTGGCGAGAGACGAGCGGCTCGGCTTCTTATCCTTCCACCCTCCGCGGACCGTGACAGGTGATCAGCTAGCCCAGGCAAGACCTCACACTGTCAGAAGGCCCCAGCCTTTAGTCGCAGAGAAATACTTTTTTTTAAATAATGAAGGGGTGGCCCCCAAACGCCCTGAATGGAGGGAGTAGAAATCTCAAGAGGACGCTTTCCTGGGGAGAACGTCCCGCTTCCTAAAAGCTACCCCCGAGCTTCTCAGTGACGGTAACAGAACAAGAGTGGCCAGGAAAAACCCGCCAAATGGTTCGTGGAGCGCACGCATGCGCGAGACCCTGCTCCAGCCCCACCCCTTTCCCTTGCTTTCTGGGGCTCATCCCCGGACCCCATGCACGCACGCGCGACCCAGGGCGCGTGCGCACTAGCCGGCGTGTGGACGACCTTACGCACGCGCCTAGCGGCCAGCCCGCCGGCAGCTGCGCAGTTGTCTCTCGCTGGGTGAGGAGGAGGGGTGTGACCGGCGAAGCCCCGGGGTTACATGTAAGGAAATTGAGTCTGTGTGCTAATGGCAGATACCTGTTTTCTGGGCATTGGCTACTCGGTGAGGCTCAGTGGCTTAGGTTCGTCACTCTTTTTCTTTGTTCGGTTGTGCGCTGGCGCTGTAGTGCGCCTGCCGTCGACTGTCTCAAACTTACTGTACCTCCTTCTCCGTTCCCCTTGTCATCCCGTGGTTCATCCTACTGAAAAGAATGGCTTCAGTAGGGAATCTGGTTGCCATGGTTATTATCGTGATTATCACCGTGGTGCCAGCCACAGTGCTGGGTATTTTTTCTGAATCTGGAGCATTTGGGGGGGGCGGGGATATGAGGTGGGAAGGTGACAGAAACAATTTAGTTTTGGACAGGTTATGTTTGAGTGCCTCTGGGATTTCCAGGTAGAGATTCCCAGTGGGTGACTGGGAATTCCCCAGGGGGGCTTGGGAGTAAATGTAGGTCACTAAAAGAGGGTTTAAGATGAGAAGAGGGTGAAATAGATCATAATTCTTTGAGCCAAAACTCTCAACCGTAGGCGTCATACTCTGCTGGTGGGATGGTAGACTGGTAGAGCGTTTCTAGAAAACAGTTTAGCAATATGTATCAGGAGCCTTAAAAATACCCATCCCAGACCGGGCGCGTTGGCTCACGCCTGTAATCTCAGCACTTTGGGAGGCCGAGGCGGGCGGATCACTTGAGCCTAGGAGTTCAAAATCAGCCTGGGCAACATGGTGAAACCCCTTCTCTACAAAAAATTAGCCTGCTGCGGTGGCAGATGCCTGTGACCCAGCTAGTCCGGGGCTGAGGCAGGAGGATCGCTTGAGTTCGGGAGGTCGAGGCTTCAGTAAGTCAAAATCACCTCTCTGCACTCCAGCCTGGGCGGCAGAGCAATATCCTGTCTCAAAAAACAAAAACCAATTTTAGGAACCCACCTCAAGGGATTCGTATTTGCACAGAGGATCCATCATGAAAGATTGGCTCTTTCAGGGTTCACACACTTACGCCTCAAATATTTACTATCTGATTTTTTACAGAAAATGTTTGCAGTTTCCCACCATCGACAATAACTGCTGGGTAGCAAATGTGTTACATACGTATTTTTCCCAGCCTCTTTTAACTTTATGGTTTTTATCTACCACACAACATTGTACAATTCTTTCTCTTAATGGGTTTTAGGTTTCTTGCTTTGCTTGATAAGCTAATGCAAATATTCTTCCAATTTTTGTTTATTTAATTACTTGACATTTTGCCTTTAGATCCCTAATCCACCTAGAACTAACCTTATTTGTGATGTGAGGAAGGATTTAGCTGTGTTTTATTCCTGACAAACAGCCAGCATGTCAGCAGTTATATTTAGGAAATAAAACATTCTTCTCCAACTGACTCGAACCGTAATCTTTCATATCTCAGGTCCCCAGAAACAGTTGAATTTGTTTCTGGATTTTCTGTTTTATTCCACTGATTTGTTGTCTTTTCTGTGTCAATATAATATTTTGATAGCAGGAGTAAATCAAGTGGGTTTTAGATCTGTGACATAGCTAAAACAATTGTAGCTGGGACAAAACAAGTGTATTGCTCTGTCGGATGAAATAATTTCAGAGATAGGTAACCAGGGCTAAAATGGTGACTTCAAGTTCATCAGGCCTCCATCTTTCTGCTCCACTGTCCTCTAGTGGAGGACATTGGCAAACCATTGTCTATCCCTTTTTGAAGAGGAGTCTTTCTAGAAGTCCTTCCCTAGACTTTAGCCACATAGCCATATCTTTAAAGGACGCTGGGAAATGTAGGTTTATAAGTTATATTGTATTATTGAGGGAACTCATTGCTACCCCATCAATATACACATTTTGTTAGTAAGAAAAGAGTTAAGGCTGGGCGTGGTGGCTCATGCCTGTAATCCCAGCACTTTGGGAGGCCAAGGCTGGCAGATCACGAGGCCAGGAGTTCAAGATCAGCCTGGCCAATATGGTGACACCCTGTCTCTACTAAAAATACAAAAATTAGCTGAACATGGTGGCAGGCACCTGTAATCCCAGCTACTTGGGAGGCTAAGGCAGGAGAATCACTTGAACCCAGGAGATGGCGGTTGCAGTGAGTTGAGATCGTGCCATTAGACTCCAGCCTGGGCAACAAGAGTGAAAACTCCATCTCAAAAAAAAAATGGGTAATCAGGCTGGGCGTGGTGGCTCACACCTGTAATCCCAGCACTTTGGGATGCCAACGTGAGCGGATTACCTAAGGTCGGGAGTTCAAGACCAGCCTGACCAACATGGTGAAACCCTGTCTCTACTAAAAAAAAAGAAAATAAAAAATTAGCCAGGTGTGGTGGGTGCCTGTAGTCTCAGCCACTCAGGAGGCTGAGGCAGAAGAATTGCTTGAACCCAGGTGGCACTGTTGCACTGCACTCCACTCTGGGCAACAGTAAAACTGTCTAAAAAAGGTCTTTTCCAGCTTCAGCCCCGGACCCTACAGCCGCTTAGATGTTGATGCCTAAGAACTGGATTGCCATTTATGAGCTCCTTTTAAAGGAGGGAGTCACAGTGGCCAAGAAGAATGTCCACATGCCTAAGCGCCCAGAGCTGGCAGACAAGAACGTGCCCAACCTTCATGTCATGGAGGCCTTGCAGTCTCTCAAGTCCCGAGGCTACGTGAAGGAACAGTTTGCCTGGAGACATTTCTACTGGTACCTTACCGATGAGGGTATCCAGTAACTCTGTGATTACTTTCCTCTGCCCCCAGAGATTGTGCCTGCCACCCTACGCCCCAGCCGTCCAGAGACAGGCAGGCCTCGGCCTAAAGGTCTGGAAGGTGAACGACCTGCAAGACTCACAAGAGGGGAAGCCGACAGAGATACCTACAGACGGAGTGCTGTGCCACCTGGTGCTGACAAGAAAGCCGAGGCGGGGGCTGGGTCAGCAACTGAATTCCAGTTTAGAGGCAGATTTGGTCGTGGACGTGGTCAGCCACCTTAGTAAAATTGGAGAGGATTATTTTGCCTTGAATGAACTTACAGGAAAAAAAAGTATAATCAGGGTTTTGTTGTTTTCATCTAGTTCTGTTTTACTTAGAGAGTTTATTAGGAATGACTGCTGAATTGTACCCAACACCACAAAGGAATGATTTTCTCCTTTAGCTGATTAGTGTAAGAAAATGTGTCACTCACAAGAACAGAAAATCAAACACTCATGTTCTCACTCATAGGCGGGTGTTGAACACATGGACACAGAGAGATGAGCATCACACACTGGGGTCTGTTGCAGGGGGGTACTAGGGGAGGGACAGCGGGGAGTGGGGAGTTGGGGAGGGATAACATGGGGAGAAATGCCAGATATAGGTGATGGGGAGGAAGGCAGCAAACTACATTGCCATGTATGTACCTATGCAACAGTTTTGCATGTTCTTCACATGTACCCCAAAACCTAAAATGCAATAAAATATATATATATTTTTAAATGTGTCACTTTAATCATAATAAACAATTACTTTATTTTAAAAGAGAATGTATTAAAAACTTTTGTGCATCACTATTAAGAAAGTGAAAAGACGATCCTCGGAATGGGAGAAAATATTTGCAAATCATATATTTGAGAATTGTCTAGTATCCGGAGTATATAAAGAATTGTTACAACTCAACAATAAAAAGACAAATAATCCAATGAAAAAATGGGCAAAATACTAAAATAGACATTTCTCCAGTGAAGATATGCAAATAGGCAATAAGCACACAAAAAGATGCTCAACTTCATTAGTCATTAGGGAAATGTAATCATATTTGTACCCACAAGGATGGTTATAATAAAAAAATAGGACAATAGGCTGGGCATGGTGGCTTACGCCTGTAATCCCAGCACTTTGGGAGGCTGAGGTGGGCAGATCACGAGGTCAGGAGTTCGAGACCAGTCTAGCCAACATAGTGAAACCCATCTCTACTGAAAATACAAAAAATTAGCCAGGTGTGGTAGTGTATACCTGTAGTCCCAGCTACTCAGGAGGCTGAGGTAGGAGAATCACTTGAACCCAGGAGGCGGAGGTCATAGTGAGCCAAGATTGCGCCATTGCACTCCAGCCCGAGCAACAGAAACTTGGGATGTAGAGAAATTGGAGACTTTAAACATGCTGGTAGAAATGCAAAATGGTACAGTGGCAGTGGAAAACAGTCTGTAATCCCAGTTAGGAGGCTGAGGCACAAGAATTGCTTGAGCCTGGGAGGCAAGGGTTGCAGTGAGCCAAGATTGTGCCACTGCACTCCAGCCCAGGCAACAGGGCAAGACTCTTAAAAAAAAAAAAGTGTATACACAAATACTTCTACAAGAATATTAACAGCAGAACTATTTATCGTGACCAAGGAGTAGAACTAACCCAAATATCTATCAGCTGATGGATGGATAAACAAAATGTGGTGTATATAGTGGAATTTTATCTATAAATCCCATTTGAATGATGGGGATTCCATAAACTCAGAGAGGTGATTTGCTGGAGGTCACAAAGCTGGTAAGTAACAGAAAGTAAACTGTGGACCAGTTCCTTTTCATTAAATCTGGGTAGGTTAACAGAAACTATTGTGGTGAGCTCTCAGGCAACAATGGAGTGAAATTTACAAACAGCTCCTGTGGCTGACCTTCCTGGACTCTGATTGCAAATGGGGACCTCATGGACCTCCCGTTGGTTAGTGTGAAATGTTAGAAGAGGTTAATGCCAGGGTCCAATTGCACATTGTTGTTACGACACAGGGTGGATTGGCCACATGTATTCTGTAGCTCACCTGGAGTGAGCACAGGGTGGAAATCAGATGGAATATGGAATGCAGTGGCTTGATCACGACTCACTGCAGCCCCGACCTCCCGGGGCTCACTCAGTCCTCCCACCATAGCCTCTCGGGGACTACAGGTACACACCACCACGACCTAGCTAATTTTTTTTTTTTTTTTTTAGAAATGGGGTTTTACAGTGTTGTTTGGTTTTTGTTTTGTTGTAGGGATGGGGTTTCAGCATGTTACCCAGGCTGGTCTTGAGCTCCAGGGCTCAAGCAATCCACCTGCCTCAGCCTCCCAAAGTGTTGGGATTACGGACGTGATCCACTACGCCCGACCTATTTTATACTTTTATTTTATTTATTTTTCTCTTTTATCTATGCTTTTTTTTTTTGAGACGTAGTTTCCCTCTTGTTGCCCAGGCTGGAGTGCAGTGGTGGGATCTTAGCTCACTGCAACTTCCACCTCTCAGGTTCAAGAGATTCTCCTGTCTCAGCCTCCCAAGTAGCTGAGATGTCAGGCATGTGCCACCATGCCCGGCTAATTTTATATTTTTAGTAGAGATGGGGTTGTGCTATGTTGACTAGGCTGGTTTCAAACCCCTGACCTCAAGTGATTCACCCGCCTTGGCCTTCCAGAATGCTGAGATTACAGGCGTGAGCCACCTCGCCCGGCCATCTATGTGTTTTAATTGTGGTCAAAGCACAAAACATGTATCATCTTAACCATTTGTAAGTGTTCAGTTCAGTAGTGTAAGTGTATCTTTTATTTATTTTTGATGCTCTCCAGAAGCAGGGAATTTGGGAATTCGGGGAGGCACTGCTCTATGCAGGTATATTGCCACCAGGTGGCGGCAATGTAGCATGGTCTTCCGGGTCTGGTCTGTGTCTCCAGGATTTAAAAATAATGTTTATTTAATGTGTATAAATTTATGGGGTGTAAATGTTATTTTGTTACATACATAGATTGTGTAGTGGTGAAGTCAGGGCTTTCAGGGTCTCCATCACATAAATAACACACATCGTACCCGTGCAGTCACCTCTGATTGTCTGCCCCCACCCTCTCACCCTTCGGAGTTGCAGTTGTCTACCATTCCACACTCTGCACCCATGTGTACATATTGTGTAGCTCCCTCTTTTTTTTTTGAGATGAAGTTTCGCTCTTGTTACCCAGGCTGGAGTGCAATGGCACGATCTCGGCTCACTGCAACCTCCGCCTCCTGGGTTCAGGCAATTCTCCTGCCTCAGCCTCCTGAGCAACTGGGATTACAGGCACGCGCCACCGTGCCCAGCTAATTTTTTGTATTTTAAGTAGAGACGGGGTTTCACCATATTGACCAGGATGGTCTCAATCTCTTGACCTCGTGATCCACCCGCCTTGGCCTCCCAAAGTGCTGGGATTACAGGCTTGAGCCACTGCACCTGGCCATAGCTCCCTCTTAGAAGTGAGAAGGTGCAGTATTTATCTTTCTGTGTCTGACTTGTTTTACTTACTGGCCTCCAGTTCCATCCATGTAGCAGCAAAAGACATGATTTCATTCTTTTTTATGACCCAATAGTATTCCAGGTGTATATGTGCCACATTCTCTTTACCCAATCATCTGTTGATGGGTGCTTAGGTTGATTCAATATCTTTGCTTTGTGAATAGTGCTGTGGGAAACGCACCGGTGCAGGTACCTTTTTGATGTAATGATTGCTTTTCCTTTGGGTAGACACTAGGTAGTGGTATTGCGGGAGTGCATGTTAGTTCTATGTTTAGTTCTTTGAGAAATCATTGTATTATCTTGCATAGAGGTTGTACTAATTTACAGTTCCCCAACAGTGTATAACAGTTACCTTTTTGGCTGGGTGCGGTGGCTCATGCCTGGAATCCCTCCCTGTACTTTGAGAGCCCAAGGCAGGTGGCTCACTTAAGGTCAGGAGTTTGAGACCAGCCCGGCCAAAATGGTGAAACCTTGTGTCTACTAAAAATACAAAAAATTCGCTGGGAGTGGTGGTGGGCATCTGCAGTCCCAGCTACTTGGAAGGCTGAGGCAAGAGAATCTTGAACCTGGGAGATGGAGGCTGCAGTGAGCCGAGGTTGCACCACTGCACTCCAGCCTGGACAACAGAGTGAGGCTCCGTCTCAACAACGACAACAAAGAGTTCCCTTTCTTCCACATCCTTGCCAACATCAATATTGTGGTTATTCAGATTTTCTTCCTCCCAAATTCCCCCCATGCTGTTATCTGAAACGAAGGCTTTGTGCATAGTGGGAGGCGAGATTTAAAGAAACAAAGCTTGGGATGGTCATGGTGGCTCATGCCTGTAATCCCAGCACTTTGGGAGACTGAGGTCGGCAGATCACCTGAGGTCAGGAGTTTGAGACCAACCTGGCCAACATGGGAAACTCATTTCTACTAAAAATAAAAAATTTAGCTAGGCAGGGTGCCTGTAATCACAGCTACTCAGGAGGCTGAGGCAGGAGAATTGCTTGAATCCAGGAGGTGGAGGTTGCAGTGAGCTGAGATTGTGCCACTGCACTCCAGCCTGGGTGACAGAACAAGACTCTGTCTCAAAAAAACCCAAAGCTC